TCATCTACCTCACATCCTAGGGCACCTAGACAACTACTTGTGGGTGCCCCGGTTTGGGCTCGCAATTACGGGCCTGGACTGCCTTCATACTACCTCACATCCTAGGGCACCTAGACAACTACTTGTGGGTGCCCCGGTTTGGGCTCGCAATTACGGGCCTGGTCATACATGGGTCTCCGCTTCTATTTCCAGGGTCACAGGTCCTCTCTCCTACGAGGTAGCCCTGGACAACGGTCGTGTCCTGCGTCGGCACATCGACCAACTCCGCCCTCGGCGGGACTTTTCAGATGAGACTCCTGGGTCTTTTCCAGGGGGGGGAGAGGGACCCTTTGGAGCAAAGGGAAGGGCACGAGCTGCTGCCCATCTCCACTGATGGAGCCACAAACGGCCCATCCCAGGGTTCTGCGAGAGCTCCGAACAAGAATTCTATGAGCCTACCTAATTACCAGGCATCCACGCCTACTCCAGCCAGGGAGTCACCCCGGGGGCATACTCACTTTCCACACACATCACACAGCACTCCAGTCACGGAGGATACCCGGGGGCATCCCAACAAATCATTCCCCGCAAGAAAGCTGGCACACAATCCCCAAGGTTGGCCTGACCTTACCCCAAATTCTACAGGGGGTCAAACATACAGGGAGGTGGTCGAGGAACCAAGTCCCGACTACAACACCTCTAGCCCAAATCAGGGAGTAACTGAGTTTTGGGAAAGTACAGAAACCCACACAAGCCCGGACACAGAACGGGGTTCAGGGAATGGACAGCCTCCTGACAGGTCTTGGATGGACCTAGGAGGTTCAACAGTGACGCCCAGCAGTGGCTATCACTTCAAGGGGCCCGAGGGTCTACAGCTAGGCAGGTCAACCAGGTCACAAAGTGACAGAAGCCCTGGCCTGACGAGCCCGGTGGGCGAGCAAGCAGGCCAGGCAGCAGGGCACAGTCCTTGGAAGGCACCAAGGCAAAATAAGGAGAACAGGCTCACATCTCCCTCCAGTCAGGGAACTCATGCTAGTAACCCAGAGCTGAGAAGGTCACAGAGAGCAAAGAAGTCTCCTAAATACTTAGAGGATTACATAACATTGCTGGCTAAACAAAAGCCAGGTAACGATAGGAGCACTGAGAAGCAGAACACTGCATAAAATAAATGATTATATGTTGGTAGTAGTTTTAGCCCGGGGGAAAGGGGTGTTATGTCCCGAGCCTTGCAAACGGCTCGGGCGTTTGCAGGCAGTCCCGGGCAGGTGCAAAGCTGCCCGGGACCAGACAGGCTGTCGCCAGCGCCGTGCGCATGCGCGGGTGCTGGCGCGGGAAAAGTATCGCATTTACCCGGGAAATGTCTATATAAGAAGCTGGGAGGTTTTGGGAGCTGCTGAAGCCATCTACTTGTAAGCTGAACACAGAATAAAGAAAACTGAGAACTTCAACTGCTTCTCGTGTCTGCTTCCCGCCAAGGACTCAACATAAATCATTCACAAAAAGCTTAATTCCCCTATTCAGAGTAACTATGTCCCTCCTTATTCTCTGTGTGTGTGTGTCTCTCTCTCCCTCCCTCCCTCTCTCTCCTTTGTGTTCTTCATAACAATATTAAATGCTTACTGGCAATTAAACTGATCTGCACCACATTACATTTTATCAAGTGTTTTTGTTTCCCTAACCATTTTAAAGAAATATGCTAACCCACAGTAAAAAGAATGGCTCTTAACATGTTTATGTATGCTTAGCTTGCTCAGCAGAGCCCGTCTCACAAAAGAATTCTTTGCAACAGAGAGGCCCTATAGTTTTACAACATCTACATGGACCTAAATTACTGTTGTTTATATGGATATGCCTATGAGAAAATGAGAAAGACAGAATTTATAAACCTTGTGCATTCATGTCAACACAATAAGTTGGATTCCAATGTAAGTTAACCCCACAGAACAAACTGTATCTGTTTCTTCCTCTCTTGTGCCTCCATAAAACTTCTATAAAAGTCAAAGCTATCCTAAACAATATGAAAAAAGCTATTGCTTGGAGTATAGAAGATTATACAAATTGGATCTCAGGATAGTTCATATACAATAAACCTTCCATATTCCTATTCTCCAGAAGATCCATGATTATCTGGACAAGCTGTGTGCGGGGAGAGCATTAAGTACCTCCAGGACAGGGATGGAAGCTTCAGTAAACTTGTTCAAATTAAATTATCTTAGGATCGAGTTCTCTATGTTAGGAAGCTACATTGATTAAAGAAATATAATATTATTAACATCTTTTATTCCCATAATGGTGAATGTCAGCACAGCAAGGCAGATTAGACTAAGAAGCTAATACCATATGGGTCAGAATTATTATTATTTAAATATGTTTTATTGATTTTTAACATAATCACCTTAATATTTGGTAAACAGCGTGTTGTCTGGGTTAGTATTTAATTAATTTCTATAATTCTATAGTCCATATAATGGCTTTGCTTGATTTTCTCTTCTTCTAATAAAATTATCTTTTGCCAACTTTAAATTAACACAGTTCTTATTATTTTAATTAAATATAGACATTTTTCTCATGCCGCATCATAGATCCTGTTTACAGAATTCTTATTTAAATTTCCTCCCCACAATATTCAAAGCATTCTTACTGGTTAAGATTTTCTTGAAATTAGTTACACTTAAGTATTTAAGTCTTTTTTCTCATACAAGCCATCCCAATAATTTTACATTTCTCATGTCTTTAAAAAAGGGGAAAAAACAGATAAAACATTTCTTTTATATAAACCATCCCAACATTTTTCTTTTTCTCATATCAAAAACAAAACACAAAGGAAAAAAGTAAGAAAAAAGACTATGTTACTTGGGGGGTTCATCCCTCTTAAACTAATCTTCATTTATATTCAAAATCTTTCTAGTTTTTAACCATATTCAAACAGATGTTTAATTTTTAAATATTCCCTCTGGTAAATCCCATCATCTAATTTTTTAATTTTCACTTTAGCCTCTTCTTTTTTTTTGCCAAACATCTTTCCTGATCAATATGCTTCGCTGAATCAAAAAATCTTTCCATAATCTTAAAATTGTTGTTGCAGGTACAAAAGGCAAACAGGTAAGATGCTTTTATAGGAAGATTTCGTCCCTTCGTATTCATTGAGAATCTTTTCTTTTCTTTCTTTCTTGATTATATTTATCATTTTTTGTCTCTCAAGTTCTCATAGTTCTCCTGGCAGAATGCATTTTGTCAAATCTTTTTTCTTTTTTCCTCAAACTTATTTTGTAATCTTAAGGTATAGGTTACCATACTGGTTATCCATTACCAGTATTTCCTATACAGTTTTTTCCATCTGAGTTAAGTCATACTTTCTTCTATTGTTAAGTTCCATCTTGAAATCTCTTTCTTCTGTCTCGTATTCAGTTGTCTGTTTTTTCTGCTCACTCTCTGTTTTTATTTTCTGAGAATTTTTGTGTTGTAAAGTTAAATTGGAGATGTGTTCATTTATATTTTCAAAGTTATTTTTAATTTACTTGTTGTTTGAGATCATTGTTGTTTGGATTAGTTGCAACATAGCATAGATCTCCTTCTGGAAAGCATTTGTTTTTTCTTGGTATATTTTTTCTGCAGATCTCTGGTTTTCCATGATAGCTAAAAATCAGGGTTTTCCTTTCTCTGCAAACAGCTGTAGAGTCACAGTTGAGTTGATATTTGTAATTCAGAAAGGTCAATTCTTTTTTTTAGAGTTTATAATTCTCACTTTGTAGACAGCCCAAAATGTTTTCTTCTTTTTTATCACAGCTATTCTCTGTTATTAAGACACTGAAGATCACCAAAACCAAATTATCTTTTCCTGGGCTTTGCCAGTCCCTGTAATAAAGCAACTGTTGTTGTATATTTTCATCCACCACTAGATGTCAGCACCAGTCAGTAATAGACAATTGTTTACTTCTATTTTCATGATTTAAAAGGAAAATCTTAACAAATTCCACCGATTTCAAACTTATCCATATTAAGTCTTATATTCATTTCATTTCAGTACATTTCTGTTTCCCCTGAAAAATTTAAACCTCTCCCTTTCTCACTTTCAGAGGCTTTTTGCTTCTTGGGGTCCCCCTTCCAGGAAATCAATTTTCAAGTAGAAGAGAGAAAATCACTGTTCTTACCCAGTTCCAAACACATTGTTTACAGTCAGCTTAAAGTAGTGCTTTTGGGCTTTGGCTGCTTGTAGCTTAGGCTAGATTCTGAAGTTAAGCTAGCCTTTCATCTGCTGGCTTTTGGAGGGCTTTTCCCAAACCGGTTGGATTGACTGCCGTCTCTCCACAATCAGCGGGACTTCGTTCCTTCTTTGTTGCCTCTATGGGGCGACTTCAGGCCCAGTTAGGGTCCCCTGGCAGGCAGAAATCAACCGTAAGGTGCAGAGCCCTGCAATCCCTCGGCTGCTACACTACTGCGCAAAACCAGAAGCCCAGGTCAGAATTATTTTTATTATAATAGCTATAATAATAGAATTTTGCAAATCTGAGTGTGTTTCCCCTCCTTTATATACATGCAAATTAGGAAGGGGCTTCTCTGAGAAGTGTCTCTCAAGTTATTTTTTTGGATTAGCTCAAGCCTCTCTTATCTGACCACTGCCTTAGTACCTGTTCTCCCTCCTGTCCTTCAAGGCCTTTCCCTGTGCCCTGTAGAGTAAAGCATAACAGGAATTTTGGAGATGTCACTGCAGGAGAATAGAAGATATAATGAATATAGAGGATGTATTGCGATTGTTTCAGAAAATAATCTTCAAATATCTCATAAAAGCCAGAGCATTTATCTCAAGTTAAGATACATATATCCAATTTAATTTTTAGAGACCAGAACGACAATTTAAAAGTTGGCAGAGGTTGGATCAAAAGGATTTCCAGTTAAAAAAAACAGTAATGGCCACATTCAAAATATATCAAACAGTTTTCTCCCTTGCCAATTTATATTATAGTATATTCAACTATCATGATTTCCATCAAATGCAACTGTGAAGTGAAAATTATTCTTACTTTGATTGCTGTGTCTTGTAGAAACATGCTGGGAGTCCTAAAGAACAAAGACATGGAATTGGTAATTAAAAACATGGAATGGTACAGTAACAATAGTTTGACACACGTGACAGAAAGAGTAATTCTACTGTACAGAGCATTTGGACCACTCTTTTTTATCTCTAGCAACAAAGAGACTATGTACATCTTGATAATCTCTTTGAATATTCTTAGGCAGAATTTCATCCATGCTAGAAACACATCAGGGTTTTCCTCCTCTGATCCATTGCTGAAGACAATTGATATGTGAGAGAGGTCCTCATCTAAGAGGAAAACTCCAAAAAACTTCCAAAACAATCAAGCACTCCAGCTGCCACTTTATTTCTTCTCCAAATGATAACATACAGAGTATATTGTATTTTCCCAGAAATATGTAAGAGTATACAAGGTTATACAAGTAGTAATTATAACCATAGTCAGGGGTAGGCAACCTTGCCTCTTTTATGACTCATGAATTTCAACTCCCGGAATTCCTGAGCCAGGGAGAGGTGTCTAAGTTGAGCCATGCTCGCTCAGGAATTCTGGGAATTGAAGTCTACGAGCCATAAAAGAGCCAAGGTTGCCTACCCCTGACCATGGTGGATTACTATATACTAGATGAAATTGTTCTAACTGAGCACCATCTGTGGAAAGAACCCAGTTCCCTGAATATCATGTAGCAGAATTATGGGAATGCTAAATTAGTCACAATTGTACAGGCAAGTGACTGCTGACTGCACAATAGCATTTAGCTTGGATCATGACAACAGTAGCTTTAACTGAACACTGAGCAACTCACATAAACTCTTCAGGCTATTTTGTAACTTAATAAATTAAGCTGTGAGTGAGTTCACATGGTTTGGGAAATGCATGGGGCACCATGAAGCAAGTTTGGGAATCTCTGCCTTATGCTACTCTTTGCAAATTTCTGCCTTAGTAATTGATCCATAGGTCTGACCTACAACGCAATCTCCACAATAGAAAACACAGAATTTATTCCTTCCTTATTCATTTCCTGGGTTGATCCCCTAGAAGAACCTTTAAAACAAATTATCTCATCAATGGATATAGAAGCCACATAAAATGCATTAAATGACAGATCACAAACATATATATGCAAAAATGAAATGCAACAATTATTAAAATTAAATTAAATTAAAGTAACATTTAAAATTAATGTTTTAATTTTTTATAATTAAAATTAAACTAAAATGATGGCTATTAAAGGTAAAATATATTCCTAGTATAAACAAGTATAATATTGTATCAGCATAATTGCAGTCTCTCACCAGTCATCTCACACTGTACCCTCTTGGAACCAATTGTCATTGATAAATAGCAGCATTAATGTTCCCCCAGATTCCTACCTGGTGATCACATGCTAGTGCAGCACCTGTGCATGAGGCAAGGCAGGATGATGGTGCCGGAGAACAAAGGCTGGTAGAACTAGCCTAGCAGGATTTGGGGTCCAGCAGCATAGTTTTAGAGCCATTGCCAGTTTTATTTCAGCACACCAGCAATACTAGCTCAAATACAGCACTGCCAGAGCCTGAATGCTAACAGATAGAATCTGTTCTATCCAGAGCAGGCATAACATGCAAATCCTGAATATTTAGCAACAATGATTAGAAATTATGCCACACTAGGCTTCCGGTTTGTCACGTGGCCGCCATGGACAGATGGGAGTTTTGCTCTCTCTCCCCCGAAAGTCACCTCAAAGAGGCGACCAGCAAGGAGGAGCTTTCGCTGGATCACGGGAGAGCAGCAACTCTCCCATTAGAGCTGGCAATCCCTCCAAACCGGCGGACGAAAGGACCATCCATAGAAATATGGCTCATCCCTAGGCTGCTAACAGCCAAAGTTGCATTTACCATCTAGCAACTTTAAAGCAGTGTGGAAGAGACTGGGTGAGATCTGCCTCTCTTATATCCTAATTACTTAATTACCTGCATAAGCTGCTAAAATACTTTCCCCCCCCCATGGTGAGGGAAGGGGAATTTTAGCTCTCCCTCCTGAAACAGCAGCGATCAACCACTCAAGAGTTTAAAACGTTGGAAAAATACTGGGATCCTAATTGGAATTCTATTTCCTAAAATTGGTGGATTATAAGACTTGTAACTTTTTACTATTTTTTCTCTGATTTTTACTCTAACTATTATTGAAGATTTGGGGGTTTCCCCCCTTAAAATGGAGGGGGGAAACTGAAAAGATCCAACTAACTCTGAGATGACATCTGGTGGCTAAATTTGAGACTGTAACCTGCTATTCTTTAAGAGAGACTTGTTGACAGCTTTGAAAATAGATAAAATATAAAGTAACCTTGAAGCACTAACTGCAAGAAACTCAGCTCAGCTCCTCTCTTGGTGGACTTCCTGACTGTAAGTTTTTTTTTAGTTTAATATACTACAATGAAAGAAGAACAGGAATAGATTTCTCCTGTAGAGGAAGAACAGGAACAAATTATTTGTATGTTAAAAGCAATTATCCAAACTCTCTGTATAAGTCTGGATATGCAAACTCAACTATGACTTCAACCAAAGAATCATCTATACAGAATTCTATAGAGAAAGTGAAACAACCAAATGCTATGACAGATGACTTAGATACTCAACAAATACAGACAATGGAAAACACAAAAAAGAAACTGATAATAGAGAACAAGGAAAGGACTTTTCTTATAAACCAGAAAGAATTTGAAGATAAAAAAGAAAAACAGATGAAAGAGAAGTTAAATACTTCGAGACAACTGGATCGAATTGGAAAAACAAAGAGATGACCTGCTAAATCAACTAATCCTCTTAAGAAAACATCAACTGGATGCTTTTACCAACATCAAACAATAGCCACAACAATACAAAGAAATATTTTTGATGATTTAAAAGCAAAGATATGAAAGATGATTTGGCAAAGAAAAAAAAGCTAGAATAAGACTGAAAAGGATGGAGTTTTGATTTACACATGAGATCTAAAACAGAATATATCCAAATGGATAGAATATGTATTCTGAACACAAAATATTGTAATGATTTGAGATACAGAAAATTTTGGTTATATAAAATCTAGAAATATAAATATTAAAATAAGAATATTATATTGTTTTATTAGTTTGTTAAGATAGATGGTAGAATTTATATATAAGGTGCGTATTTTAAATATTAGATTGTATAAGGAATTGTGATAAAGGAATTGTGCTTAATTAAAAATTTGGAAGAAAAATATTAAACGTTAAATTAAAATATTAAGGGAAAATTAACTATCAGGTAATTAAATTCAAGATTTGAATTTAAAATATCGTTATGAGTTGAGACAAAGATTAAGTAAAACTTAGAAGTGTAAATATTAATAATTAAATTTGTATATTGGTTTATGGTACAAATGCTGATGGTTTATTTTTGTTGTTTTGCTTTGGTTTTTTCTTTTTTCTTTTGAAAGGAAGAAAGGAAGGAAGTAGAAGGAAGAAAAGAAAAAAAATTATTAGCCCCAAATATAAGATAGGAGACTTAGAAATTAGGGTCATTTAAAATTTGGAAATGATAAAGATTAAACGTTAAATTTAAATATCAATGGGAAATTAAAGTTAAGAAAAACTTACTAGGTTATTGTCTAAAAGATGGAATGTCAACTCAATTAAAATATGTATAGACTGAAGATTATTTTTTTTTATTAAAGAGTTTTATAAATTTTACAAAAAATAAGAAACAATACAAAAACAAAAAACAACATATACAAATAAAAAACAAACATTACCCAACAAAACCCCCCTTCCCCCACCCCTACCCAACCCCCCCCTTCCCCCCCCAGGACCTCCCAGAGCAGAATATAGGCTTAATTAAAGAAAAAGTTAAAAAAAATTATAAAAAAAGAATATAAAATAGAATATATATATATATATATAAAGTTAAAAATTATGAAAAAACTATATAATATTTTTTTATATCAAATTTAAATTGTATGAATTTTATCCATTTATCCCAAACAGCAAGAAATTTCTCTTGCGTTTGTCCCTTTAAGAAAGCCGAAATCTTTGCCATTTCCGCCAAATGAGACACTTTAAGAAACCATTCCTGCAATGTAGGCAAAGATTCCTTCTTCCAATATTGTCCTACTAACAGCCTCGCAGCTGTTATCAAGTTTAACATCAATATAACCTCCTTTGTGTCACAATCAGTAACTATACCTAACAAAAATAATTGTGGAGTAAATTTTACCCTCCTTTTAAAAATTCTCTGGATATTCCACCATATCTTAATCCAGAATGCTTTTATCTCTCTGCACGACCACCAAATATGATAATAAGTAGCATCCATACAACCACATCTCCAACATTTAGGTTGTAAGTCAGGGTACATAAAAGACATTTTTTGTGGATCAAGGTGCCATCTATAAAACATTTTATAAAAATTCTCCCTTAAGTTCTGTGCTTGTGTAAATTTGACATTTCTCACCCAAATAATTTCCCAGGTGTCCAATGGAACTGGCTCACCAAAATTCTGCGCCCATCTAATCATACAATCTTTAATTAGTTCCGTTTCTGAATCCAATTCAACTAAAACCCCATAGATCCTCTTAATGTGGGTTTGTCTTTGATCCTTCACTTGCTTAATAAGATTTTCATCTTTTCTGTAAAAACCCACCTTACAGTCCATCTTCCATCTATCTAATAATTGCCTATATTGGAACCAAGAATAAATAATATTTTCTTGTGCTAACTCTTCCCGTAATTTTAACTGCCAGTTTTGTCCATCCCATTTAAGTAACTGTCTATAGGACACCATATCCATTTTAACCCCTCTTTTTATTCCTTCTATTGCATGCCAAGGTACGGCCCATAATGGTACTTTAAAATCACTTTTGTAATATTTTCTCCAAACCCTAAGTAAAGAAATTCTTAAGATATGAGATTTAAAAGCCCAATCCATTTTTTTATTAAATATTAAATAGGCATGCCACCCAAAAAGTAAATTCCATCCCTCTAAGTGAAGTATATCAGAATTTGTCAAATTTACCCAGTCACTAACT